CCCCCAGCCACAGGGCACGGGGCCGCCGACCCAGACCCTCCCCCACACGCGCAGGTGCACACACTGGCTCCCATGGGCTTCTGAGTCCACACCTGCGTTTGCCACCCACCCCTCGAGGGGCTGACCGGGCAGGGGTGAGGGAGGCCGCCTCAGAGGCCCAGGCCCCATTGATGGCACTCCTTCCTCCAGGGCCACAGCCGGGGACTGCCTGGAGAGCTCCTACTTCAAGGAGAAGCCCCTGCGTGAGTCCCCAGGCTCCTTGGGCTCTGCTGCGGGGGGCTGGCCGGTAGCTGTCTGGGCGGGTGGGCTCCGGGTGCTGGGTGTAGGCCATCCAGGTGGGTGTGAGCTCTGCCAGGCATAGCTGTTCCCCGAGACGGTGCAGCATGCTCACAGACCTGCAGGGTGCCTGCACCACGCAGGATGCCCTGTGCCCACTGACGGTACCTCTGCCCACAGCCTGCGAGCCTGAGCTCATGCCTACCTTTCCCCACCACCGCAACAAGCGGGCCGCTCCAGCCGTGACTGAGGGCCAGACCAAGCGCTGCAGACCCTGACGGCCAGCCCACAGCACCTGCGTCTCCTCAGCCGCGGGTCAGCTCATCGGTGGACGGGGCCTTGCGGGCCAGCCGGCCAGGCTCCCAGGGTCTAGTGTGTCCCTGTGCCAGGACCATCCCCCTCCTCCACTGACTTCTCCCTGTTTCCACCATGTCCCCCACTACCCACAGAATGGCAGGGTGTGGACCTGGGCTGGGGCCCCCACTGTGCCTCCCCCATGGGCTGTGGTGCGCCTGTCATTCCTGCCAGGCCTTTGGCCAAGGAGACTTGGAGTCTTGGCACCATAGCTGGTGCTGGCTGTGGCCTTGGTCTCCATGGGTACCTGGGGGCCATTGTGACCCAGGGGGCTGACATGGCCAGGTGTGGAGGAGGAGGGGTAGGGGCCATGGCAGAGTGTCCCTGCAACACCAGAGCAGCAGCCTGGGCTGGGGGCTGAGCTGCATCCCTGTGCCCACACTGGCCCCACTGCCCACCTACACTGGCATAAAGAGAGACGCTTTCTAGCCGACGTCCTTTAATGTGCTTTGGACTCATCTGTGACCGGTGCCGGGGAGTTGGGGGAGGTGGCTGAGGGAGGAGCAAAGGCGTGGCCAGTGCTGTGCCCGCCCTGGGGTCAGCAAGAGGCCCCCATGCTGGGCGGGTACCTGGCCCTCTATGGGCCCTGGGAGCCTGTGCAGCTGAGGGAGAGGCTGCACTGGAGGCAACCCCATCTTTAGCACCAGCCCCAGCAGAGCTGTGGGCTGCCCCAGCAGGGCGGGAAGGCCAGGGCCTGCCCTAGCTTCATCGGGGTGGGAGCCTCCTGCTGCTGCACTCCACAGCACCTTCACGCTGCTTTCAGATCGAGCGTCTCCTCTCTAACCCCTGCCTGTGCCCCAGACTGGCCGCCCAGAGCTCAGGGCCCGTGTTACTTGTAGACTCGGGGGACACTCCTGTGTGGCGAGTCTCCTTAACGCTGAGAGGAGGGCCATGAGCTCAGGGCGGGCAGTTCTGCAGGTGGCTGATGGGCCCCAGGGAGAGCAGACATGGGCAGTGGCTGGGCAGGCGGAGGGGTCCCGCCAGCCCAGCTGAACCTGCTTCCCCTCGGGCACATGCACCAGCCCAGGCAGCTGTCCAGGGAACGCAGACATCATGTGGAGCCTGGGCTCCCCCAGGGGAAGGCCGCCCAGTGGCCCAGGCCCTAGGGGGTCTAGGCCCACCCTGACCTGGAGCACCGCAGAATCTCCGAGAGCTGTGGTCGGGAGCCCCGGACTAGGACCGGGCCCCAGGGCTGCCATACAGCAGGGTGTCCACCTGTGTGCGCTGCAGCCACAGGCGCCGCTGGGTGTCACCCAGTAACGCACGCAGCGAGTGCCCCAGGCGGCAGGTGGGCAGGGCAGCACAGTGGGCAGCATGCAGCTGGCGGCAGGTGTCACAGCAGAGGACGGGCAGGGTGCCGGGGGCCAGGCAGCTGTGAGCCTGATAGCCTGGGGACTCGGGGACTGCCTCGACCCGGAGGTGTCTTGGACTGGCCCCCCCAGGACTCCCTGGGGCTTCAGGAGCAACCAGGTCCCCAGGATGACTCAGCTCTCCACGCAGTGAGAGGAAGGAGAAGGCGGAGGGCTCTGGGCCCAGCTCCTCCAAGGCCCCATAGGGTGGGCTGCTGGCCTGCGGCAGCTCCTCAGCTGGGGGCTCCCAGGCCTGGCCCCCAGCACCCCACAGTTTGGCGCTCTGCTCCCAGAGTGGTGGCCTATATGCGGAGCAACCAGGTCCCCAGGATGACTCAGCTCTCCACGCAGTGAGAGGAAGGAGAAGGCGGAGGGCTCTGGGCCCAGCTCCTCCAAGGCCCCATAGGGTGGGCTGCTGGCCTGCGGCAGCTCCTCAGCTGGGGGCTCCCAGGCCTGGCCCCCAGCACCCCACAGTTTGGCGCTCTGCTCCCAGAGTGGTGGCCTATATGCCAGCTCCACTGGGGGTGAATCTGGGCCCGGCGTTGGCCCCCCGTACACACTGGCCTCTTCTGAGCCCTCGTCCTCCTGTGGGTCCCGGTACAGGTCCAGGGGGGCCCTGTGTG